AACAAATTATTTTAATACAATAAAGTCATTTCTGCATTTTTTTGAAGTCACCTCCTAATAAATGTCATTACAGAAAATCTAACTGCTCATTTTAAATCAATACTTTTTTTACTTTTAATACTTAAGTACAAAAAATATCAGATACTTTAAGACTATTATTCAATTAAGATTTCTAAAGGAGACTTTAACTTTTACCAAAGTAATTTTTAGGTAAGATACTTGTACTTTTACTCAAGTATCACTTTGTGGTACTTTATACAGCACTGGCTGGGTCTATGTTGGAACGTGTCCCCTCACACCTGCTTCAGGTCCCCATCAAAGGCGTGGCGTCGGATCATGAGCTCTGCACGGCGCTCAGTGAGGGAGTCCTTCGTGATGGAGGCTCCAGTGTGGATGCAGCCATCGCTGGCAGCCTCTGCCTGGGTGTTGTCCATCCACACGTGTCGGGTGTTGGTGGGTGCGTGTCTCGCTTAATCTAGAGATCTCTGCGAAATGTACAGCCRATCATAAAATCCTCCATTGTTGTCAAACCTACAGAGGAGGGGTCATGCTGGTTCATAAAGTCCRTCAGAATGAAAGCAGGGTGATCAGTTTTCAGGGATCCGCTCCGAACGGCCTGAGAGAAGAAATGCTGCGAAATGCTTCAGAACAGAAGGTAATCAAAGCTTCACTGAGCTGCATGTTTCAGAGTTTATTCACTTTGTAAGAATCTGGTTTTAGACTGGTCTACTTGTGGGAGTACCAGGGATGCTCATGGGCCTGCACCACGCTCACAGCCTGTATGGATAGTAAGTCTGGAGAGGAGGGTTTTATTTTACATTTCCTGGTATTTGATGATGTGAACAGACGTGTTCATTGCTTCTTCAGTTTGTCATGGGACGATCTTATCAGCAGAGCTGCAGCTGTAGCCAGAAAAGGATTCAACGTATCTCAGAGTCTCTGTGAGTGAAACCACCCTCCTGTTTTATCTGAGTTTAACCTTCAAGGACTGGAGAGGTCTGGTTTTGTCTGCAGCTGATGCAATATCCCAGGTAGAAGATCAGCTGGTGGGACGTTTCAGGGAGCTCTTCATCCCGAACGGCCAAGCTCTGAGTCCTGGCTCGTATCTGAGGATGCCCGGTGTGGCAGACGTCCTGCAGGCCGGTCTTTTCAGTTTCTACCACGGGGATGTATCCCAGGAGCTAGAGGATGAGGTGGTGATGCACAGCGGTTTGCTTGGTTTGATTCCACGGCAGGTCGTAACGCTGCTCTCTTTTGGTCAAAAGGTGCGAGCAAAGGGAGGCGTCCTGAGCAGAGAGGACCTCCAGAACTACAGCGCAGTGGTGCAGCAACCGCTTGAAGGCCGGTACAATGGTATGTTTTAGCTGCATGGGCTGAAAATGTTCACAGGTTTTACAGGTGCTGGTCATAAAATTAGAATATCATGAAAAAGTAGATTTATTTCAGTAATTCCATTTAAAAAGTGAAACTTGTATACTATATTCATACATTACATACAAACTCATAT